ATGTGTCACTTCTATATTATGACTCGTAACAAAGATGTTAGCTTCTCTACAAATCAAATGAAGCATCATTTGGAGGTAAAAAGCAGATTGACCAGGCCAGTTCAACTAGAATTGAGACCAAAACCGATCCAGTTAAGCTTATAAAACCTCTAATTAAAAACCTCACCCTAAAATCCATTAAATCGGCTGATTTTTTGGAAAACCCATGACCCGTTCCCGATTTAACTGGTTCAACTTATGTAAATGTATATTTTTTAAATTTTTTAAAAATTCTCGGTAAAAAATTTTGACCCTTTCTATTTTCCAAGTCGATGGTCAAGTCGGTTTTTAATGCACGAGTTGTTAAAATTATGATTCCTCAATCAAATGACATATATCCTATATTTTTATTTTCTTGATACATCTATTATAAAGGTGCATACTTGGTGAGCATCAGTCAATCCTCCTTGTACTTCCATCTCCACGGAAGGACGGCATGCAAGATATCATTATGCACGGGATGCGCAATCTTTTGAGGCCCTCTTCTGGCACATCTAAGGATGGCTAAAGTACTCGCATGGGCCGAAAACCATCATGTGGTATTAGGCATTTGTGGCCTTTGTTGGGCACATGGCAGGGCATGATGTTGCTGATATAACACTGCTATGCTCCATGGACTACGATAAGGATATTGTAACACCTGTAGTTTGAAAGAACTATCGGGGAGAGCACTAAATATGCCTCTACTAGTGCGCATTAGATAAAGGTTATAGCCTTGTCACGAAGTCAATTGGCTATAATTGTAGTCACATGGCGACCTCGTTTAATTAGGTTAATGAGGCAAGATGTCGATATCGCAAGAACGAGTGTGGTACAAGCCACTTCTAATCAGCCATTGATTAGTGGATGAACCTATTTGGACAAGGCATCAACAACGGGTATTGTGGTATGCAGTGAGATAAAATATCTGTATAAAGTGACAAGAACAAGGATTGTATTATGGGCAGGTGAATGACCCTCGAATATGCTTCGAGAGGATAGAATGTCGTGCATGAGCATGTAGTCAAGTTGGCTAAGTCGGAATCAACAATAGGCAAATGCCTTGGGGCCAATTGTAGGGCACGCAAGCATGCTTCGTGGGTGAAATACACAATGGGTCATGTTTAGACTCGTGATGAAGAATGGAGAAGTCAGTCGAATAAAATTAGACTACTACTGCACGAGCCAAGAAAAGTTCCTCAGCCAGGCTCATAGAGTTGACCCCCAACATCCCTTTGAGCACCAAAACCTCCAAACTACTAAACTACATTGGGATTGTATTTATTTATTTCTCCAAAACTTGTTAATCTATTTGTGCTGAGAATCAATCTTTAAATACAAAATTCATAATTAATCTATTTAGTTTTCAATAATGATATCTAGCACCTATGATGTTTAATTTAATTTAAGTGGTAGCACATTGTAGGTCATATTAAATGGATAATAAATTATTATGAGCCTATGAGTTAATGTCATAAGTAGGGTCACCTAACCAAATATACTAGTGCTAAATGGCATTACTCTTTGATATACTTAGGTGGTCCCATGTCTAACGTACGTATTAATTAATTAGATGGTAATTAATCAGTTTCACGACGTAATTACATTGGTCTATTAAATTAGTCAAATTGTAACATTGAGGGGTTGCTCAATTGACCAGGTCTTGTGTTTGCTCTTCAATGGTCGCCAGTTCGAGTCCCCTCAAATTCACTGAGGTAAATTCCCGACCGTAAATTTCAGGGTCCAGTGTGATTAGTCGAGATGCGCGCAAGTTGGCCCGAACATCCACGGTTATCAAAAAAAAAAATTATTAGTCAAATTGTATATGAACTAAAATAAGTCTCTAGAGATTTTGTCCAGATTAAATTTAACTATTATTGACTATTAATTAGGTGGTAATTACAACGGGATTTTAAGTTTAGTCAAACAAATATGTATATGGAGTCTTTAGAGATTTTGACCGAAATAATGTACTTTGAACTATTACTGTTCGATTTTATGAACTATATCAGTTCGTAGTTTATCTTGGTTAAGAATATTTCAATCAAACGAACAAAACGAGGTTTATTTGAATTAAAATTAGTTTCTAGAGATTTTGTTCGAAATAAATTCGAACTTTCCTTGAACCATTAGAGTTCGGTTTTCTAGACCATTGAGTTTGTAGTTATTTGAATTGAAAATAAATTCAAATGTTCTTCGAATTATTAGCATTCGATTTTCTAAACCATTGAGATTGTAGTTATTCCGATTAAGAAGATTACAATCAAGCTTTATTCAAATATGTGTGTCGTATTTTGGAATACAAATGTCATCCTACGATATTCATTTTAAAGAGATTTTGTCTAAATTAAATTTTAATGCTTCAACATATGATTTATAGAGATAAATACAAATTTCGATTTTTAAACCATCGAATTTGTAGTTATCCAAATTAAGAAGATAACAATCGAGCATGATTCAAAAACTTGTATTGTATTTTCAAGTTAACACAATGCAATGTTCGAGTTCTGTCACGACATACTCTACTTCATTTCAGTTCAAGTTTTTTAATAATCATTCTATTCGATTTTTTATTATTTTGATTGTCTTATCTTAGTCCTTTTTCGGTAAAAATTATATTTCAAATTTTGATTTAAGTCAAGAATTAATTTTTAATTACATATTTCATAAAACTTACAATCTTTTTTTTTTTTTTTTTGATATCCAGGTATCCTAACTCACACCAGATTATGTCTTGGACCACCCATCCCCGACCCCTCAGTGATGGGTGGAGGTTAACCGCGAAATATGCCCAATTTGATCAGGATCTGTGCAAACTCACAATCTTTTAATAACATACGTCATCAAAGTGGGGCTTAATATAAACTCTTTTATTAATTCAATAAATTTGGAGAAAGAAACTGCCAAACACCAAGTGGGGCCACCAAAAATGTAGAAAAAGTACATAGTTGTTCAGCGAGGGCCAAAGGCAAAGAGTAATAAATTACTAATAAACGGTTTGTAGGGAGGTGTCAAACAGAGAGTGATGAAATTTTTTTTTTTGTTTGATTGAAAAAATTTTGATTTAATCATGTCTCTCATCATATGTGCATATAAATCATTATATAGATGTTGATGTAGCACAATCGATAAATCATAAGGCCATGTTTGGATCATGAATTGCGTTTTAGTTATATAATGTTACCGTGTGGGTCATATCATCAAAACACAACCCATAAACAGCCAATCAATTTCGGCCTTATTTGACAATCATAATTTTCAAAAAAATAGTTTTGAATATTGATTTTTAGAAGAATGTGTGTTTAAAAAGTAAGAAATTTTTTTGGAATTACGTGCAAAATATTTTATTGTATGAATATATAGTTGAAAATGAGAATATGTGAAAAAAAGATTTGAAAAGTATAATTGTCAAATAGGAAAGATAGATTTTTTTGGCCGGCCACGTGGCAAACCTTTACAGGCCCACCTCATGATGCCACAAGAATCATGCTCCACGTACATAAGCATGATTCACAGAAAAAAACATGGGGCCCACCCCCATGTGAGTAATCTGTTGGTTTTCTGGCAAATTCATTTCTGTACAAATAGATTTGCTCATGCCAAGTCCACATTTTAGTCTGCCACGCACCCATTCTTCCCTTACGCTAAAGAAATTCGAAACTCATAAGGCCATGTTTGGCATGAGGCAATTTAGAATGGCAAAAATTGATGTTCCCCCTCCGTATTTCTATTAGCTTATTCCATTAAGTTTGATGCTAATTTATTTAACCACATATTTCATGATATTCACAATTTTTTAATCGACATTTTATCAACTTTTATCTAAATCTATTAAAAATTTGATTTTAATCTCCATCAAATAAGAGTTTAATATTGATTATGAATGAAATATTTATAGGAAAACGATGTGGAGTGTGCTTATGATCTTTTTATTACATTTCGGATGTGTGTCAACTACTCATGATTTGATCATATTTAAGTTTGTTTGCATTGTAACGGTATTTTTACACGTAGTATTGATCCCATCGCCACATGGCGTGAAAAATCTTCGAATGTATAGATCGCTCCCAATAAGTCACGTAGTATGAAACAACTAATTATTGCATGACTCGACAATGTCTTGTTAATGTTTATAATGGTTTAAGAAATTTGTTTGTGTATATGCCATGCAAAAAGGGTGCTACATTTTGTAATAAGAATAAATTGGAAAGAAATTAAATTTTCAATGATGAATATAGAGAAAAAATAAAGGTTAAGTAGCTAAAATTGAACTTCTCTCAAAGTCGGGTGACTTTTAAGAGTTTCTCAAATTCAATGTATAATTCTTGTTTGGTAAGAATTAAAATCTAGATTTAAATTTACGTTTAAATTAAAGTTAAAGTTAATAATTAATTTTAATCACATATTTTAAGTTACTCACGAGTCACAACTTTTAAATCGCATATTTCATCAATTCTTATCAAAATTTATTAAAATTTTGATTTTAATCTACTCAAAGGGCATAATATTTATTATTAGTACCAAACACGCCCCAATAGCGAATATCAGGATTCAGAATTAATTGGAAGGTTAAATTACCTTCCTTTCGTGCGCTGACTAAATATTATATATTTTATTCCAAAAACAATCACAAATTCTATAAATAGGTCTCGCACTGACGCCTCTTTTGGTTTGAAGGAGCCAGTAAATTCTCTCTCTAAGCTTTCCTTTCACTCACTAAAGCCCATACCATGACTCAAAACTTGAATTCACGCTGTACACAAACAATCAAATTTCTCTACAATTATGGTGGTAAAATCGTCCCTAGTCCCATTGACGGCAAGCTTCATTACGCCGGCGGTTTCACCCGAGTGATGTCCGTCGATCGATTGACAACTTTCGATGGTTCGTTAATTTATTCTTTTTTTTTTCTGTTTGATTTAGTAGAAGTTTTTGATATTTCTGGGTGAAACTGGAATATTTTTGGAATTCATGCAGACCTGATGGCGAAATTTGAAAAGTCATGTGGAGACTCGATGAAGTTGAAGTTTAAGCTACCGAGAGAAGATTTAGATGTTTTAGTTTCGATCACTTGTGACGAGGATCTGAAGGCTGTGATCGAAGAATACGATCGACTTTCACCGGAGACGAAAATCACAGCCGTACTATTTCCAATCAAACCACCAAACAAAATCTCTCCTCCGCGTTGTCCGATGTCTTGTTTTGATTTCCCATCCGCTCTACGTAAACCAGTTCCTGCAGCCATCGCATGTTATCAAGCTCCTTCGACGTACCGACGTTTCTCTCCGGCGGTTGGATTTCCAGCGATGGCGAGGAAATACAATTGCTCTCGGGAAAGGAACCCTAGGCCTGTTCGCTACTCGCCGAACGGGAAATATTCCCTTTCTAGTCAATAGTAGGAGCAAAAGCGGAGAAAATTTGAAAGCCAAGATTAATCGGTTTTCTTCCTTTTTCCCAAATCCTTTTAGGATTACTATAAATTTGGCGGTAGAAATTATCAGTGAATTTAGAACTGAAAACAGAAACTAAGTACAAGTTTTTTTTTTTTTTTGGCTAAAGTAAACCTTAAAACTGGATTATTAATATATGATTTCTATGAATTGTTCTAAAGGTGTGGTCAAGTCGTGATTCTCAGAAATTGCTGTGATAACAAGAATTAGAAATTCCATTAACCGCCGCCGTTAAATGCATTCGCTATTTATTGACGTATTAAACTGCCCTGTTTTTGGCCATCATCCGCTGCGGGGATTTCACGTGACGTCAAATGGGGTGTCGTATAGTTATATTCTGTTAGCCGCCGTTATCGTCTGGCGTTCACATGGGATTTGGTTACACCGTACACCTGCCTGCGCTGCACGTGGGTTCGGCACGTATTTATTTTGGGTTCAAATATCTATTTATTCATTACTGTTACTATTAATAATTTTAACCAATTTTTATTTATTCATTGTTAATTTATTTATGAATTCTAACAGTTTTTTTTTTGTCTTTTTTGGGCTTCTGCAGGTCAACAAACGCTCAAATCCCTTGGGTCCAAAGTATGGAGATACTGTATTTTAAGACCACTAAATGCTAATAATAAAATGGATTCTTTGTTTGGATAATCAAATTAAGCTAATAAAACCTAAATAATTGATCAGTGTGATCGAAAATTTGGACATTAAGCAAGTTGGCTCTGTTACGCCTTGCCTATGAAGCTCAAGTCAAAGTGCCACGTAGTAAATCACGTGGGTAGAAAAGCCAACAAAGACCCAATAGTCAAAAGTGAAGAAATCATATGAATGGCTGAAACTCTTAAACCGAAGCATTATCCAAACGGCCGAAGTGCGTAATTTGAAGCGTTGTATAAAAGATGGAAGAAGTCAAAACTCTTCACGTTAAGAACATTCCTCGGAGGCCCCTAATTCACCTGATGCTCATGAAGTTGAAGTTGCCCCTTACAAGATCCTTAAATAATCTTTAGAAATGATTGATATAACGTTTATAATAAAGAATGTTAAGTGTGTCAACCTATCGTATAGGGCGGCTGACCTATTGTCAATGTATTTATTGTATGATAGATAGTGATGTGAAGCATCAGTCAAAGAGATGAGGCCACGTGATTCTAATCCAACGGACACCAGTCGGCCAAAGCACTATAAATAGGCCCTCCTTGTAACTGAAAAAGGGTTGGATTCCTGGACCATAGACTCTTGAACCCTTGATCCTTAATAATGAAAATGATATTGCAAAATTCTATACGTATCATCTAGTTTTTCTCCATATACATTAGTTGATTTTTTTATGGGTTCACTTTGGTATTCAATTGGTGATTGTTGTTAGCGCAATCATCTTTGTTCCACTCGTCGGTGATTGAACACTTTTGTCTCACGCGCGTGAAGCCTCTCCCCCTTTCACGTTCATCCCGCTTCTTCTCGGAACTCCGGTCAAAACACGCCGAATTTTGCTTGAGTTGGCGCGAGTGAGCTCGACATCTGTTGCCCACGTAAGTGTCACGTTTTACAGGGTCAACAGGCTTAGCCATAAATATCAATACAAGTGTATGGTTTAAATCTTGAATATTGGGACAGAGAACAATATCAATCTTAAATGAAAAAATTTCGACAAATAATAGAAAGTTCCCAACAATGGGAGAAGTTATTCGAAGGTTGGAATTTTGGAATCTTATGATTTTTGTAGCCTTGGAAAATAATCGTTAGTAACTTGTGGGAAGATAATTAAAGTGAAACTGTTATTTTAAGGGAGAGTTAGTATAGCTCACGGAGTGAAAGTTGAATCCATTATATGAAAATGGTAAGGTTAAGCCAATAATTTAGAAATTGAGTTAGGCAGCTAGCGTTTTAAGGTTAAGTGTAAGGTATAGACCTCGATTAGGACATTAACGATCTAATAGAAAGAACATCCTTCCTAAGTTAGAACTCTTGCAGTATTTGAAAGGACATATGGTTAGGTACTGAAATGTTGTAATAACTTGATTAGCACATTTAGTTCAAATAGAAAAGTAAATTTTAGTGGAGAAAAAATTCAATAATAATAATCAAAAATTAATAATCAAGGGATGTAAAAATTTAAAGACATAAACATGTCACTTCTTGAGAATTCTCCAAGTTAGATAATCCATGAATAATTCTTGGTGTACATAATTTTTGATATTTTTGGTACATAGGAGTGTCGACACCCTTACATGGGGTGAGACGGCGTTGACACCCCTATCCATCCCACCCCATGTGAGGGTATGTACACCCTTATGTACCAAAAATTATTTACATGTAGCATGTCCCATAATACATTTCAAACCCTATTGATAAAAGCCTATATGCCAACACAAACAAAATAATTCTCTTTTCATTTTAGACACGATTGATACATGAATGTGAATAAGAATATTCTTCTAGCATGACAAGTCATTTTCATATTCTACTTGGTCAATAAACAAGTGTTTTACAGAGTCAAATGAACTAGGAAAGTACATTCAAACTATCAAATTTTGGTTGTCAAAATGGTTGACAAGATTGTTTGGCCCCTATTCCGGAGAATTTATAAATTTTGGAATATCAATTAACGAGAGGATGTGTGTTTGAAAAATAATGAGAAAATTTTTAAATTTGTGTGTAATATTATTTTAGGGAAATTTACAAAAATGGCAAATTCCATGCCGTCCATTGAAAAGTGTCTAATTTTGATAACTCCTGTAAAAAAAGAGAATTTTGGTACCAAATTGTCTATTATACCTTCAATGAAAGATGAATTTTTTTTTTTTCAGTTTTTCACAAATTTCGAGAAGAACAAGTAACTTCCATGAGAAACTACATTAATGCTAGCTAATATCTAATTGATTCATTTGCTTTTATTATTTATTAGGTATTGACCAATAATTTTGAGAAAAAAATGAAGGACTAAAGTAGAAAAGTTATTAACACTAAAAAAATAATTATATGCTTCTAATTCATAAGAAAATCATATAATTTCATTTCGAAAAATTTAATTTTATCCAAATTTGCGATTGATTGGGTTTTACACGATTCTCGATAGACGGTAATTTTTCTTTTGAAAATCTTGTTTTCGTTGACAAGTTGCGTTTAATAGTTGTTATTCTTGACATTTCATGACGTTCTTGATATTTTAAAAGTTGTTATCGACATTTGGATCATTTATATTGATACTTGACACTTCATTTGTTTAGAACGAAATTTCGTTCTGAATTAAGGAAAGAGAAAAGCTTTAAAAATTAAACGGGGAGAACCATTAATCAATTCTCTAGTCAAACGCTTCGTACGCGTACAGATTAACAAATCCGAGTGAGCAATTTGCCTTATTCACATCTTAGAATTCTTGAACGGGTAAATAAGTTTAATGTCTAAAGAAGTTAACTTTTTTTTTTTTTTTTACTTATGTTTGGAAACAATTTTTACTTCACGCCCTGGAAGGAATATGCATTTTAAGAACGACAAAAAACTAAATCTTGTTCGTGATAAAAGAATATGCGCTTTAAAGATGTCTTTATGAAACTGAAGTGATCTTCCACAATTTGAAACAAAAGAAGCAAAACCAATATTGTCCCATGTAGTTGCCAAGATGTGCACACACTTTAAGCCAGCACATTAAATACAACAAACTTCGCCTCATTTTTCAGAGAGATGTTTCACGTACAAGAAAGATTTCACAGGAAAATTCACAAGACACTCACACGTGTGGGTCCCGCACAATTTTTTTTAATACATGGTGGGGGCCTACCATGTGAGTATTCTGGTAAACCCCTGAGAAATGAATCCTATCCTTGAGGATTAATTGTATTCTAATACAATCGAGGTCGGCTACATATTAGTATGCTGGATAAAGCATAATAAATTGACAGGACCTTTTTAGTGCATTACAAGTTGATCAAATGGCTAAAGTACATTGGCATAATGCATACTAAAACATTTCTCAAATTCAACCAGTTTCCTGTTCAAATTCATCACCCTCAGACTCTTCCACATTGTCAGGATCGTCGTCATCCGCATCATTGTCAATATCTTCCTTATCGTTATCGAAAGTAGTCTTCCCAATTATGATTAAATTGTTATTTGCCTTTCTGATTTCATTACACTGCAAAGCAACATGAAATAGTTATCAACAAACCAAATATGAAAATGAAGATGGGTCAACTTCTAATTTAAAATGTAGAATGCAAAACAAAAAAAAATGTTACAGATGTGGTAAAAGCAACTGATTTCTTCAAAACATGATCCTGGACCAGCTCCACAACCAGTCAACCACTGATCGTTTTGATACGCTTAATTGGTTAATCAGATAAACAGGATATTATTTATTACACACTGTTTTGCCTGCACCTCTGGAACCAATAGGCATTCATAGAAAGCAAAAAAAGAAATAAGTCCCATATTTCACCTTGATGTTTGAAGATAGAGGGAATTGTAATGTGACTGAACGATGTAACATGTTCATGATTTAATTAATAGAAACAGTTGTCTTCGTTTGTCAAGGAAAGACATAAAGCCATCTTCAAGCAAACAATCATAACCCAAAGAGACTCGTTAAATCCCTAGAGAACCCTGAGAATCTCTACAGAATTATGTCCATATATTAACTACTCTATGAATTTGAATAATCTTATCAACAGTCTATCATTAAGTTTTAGGCTCCAAACTAATTTCATGATGCTGTATATTAAGTACTACACCTCTTTAAAGATCTTGATGATTAACCATTAAATAGTTGAGATATTTCATTCACCTTTAGTGGAAACAATTTTCTCATCCGACTAAATCAATGGCATCATGGTGATATCTAGACAAAAATGAAAACTAAAAGCCCCAAAAGATCTCACGGATCTTCTCTGCCTTTTCCTCAAGAATTTCCAGATCGATTATTATCATTCCATTAGTTTTCTTCGAAAGAATTCATTTTAGCTTTCAATTTCATACATTCACTCCAAATCATTGGAATCTAGCTCACAAGAAACGCACATACAGAGATCCCTACAAGCCATCTCATCCAATATTTGGATCATTCAGAATTCCTGCTCCTTAATCAATTTATCTCGGGTAAAAAATTGGTGGACACAACAAAAATAACAACAAACCAATCATTATTTCCAGTAAATTTAGGGCATGTTACATGAACTCTTTCTTAGCAATTCTGCACTATTCATTGAAAGATCCAATAGGAGATGAGATCAACCAGATCTTTAGCAACTATATCAGGCCATGGTAGTTTCGATCTACCCCTTTGTCTTCAATCTTGCTCTACAAGGATGATGCAAAAATATGACTCCAACCAATTAATTCGTCCTTGACTTAATTTATCCTCAACTGGCACTAGCTCCACCTGTTAGCATACATTCTTATTTTTTATCTTATCCATTTAGTATGATTGCAAAATCAGTAAGGCACGTAGGCTGGAAATATGGAGTTCCTTGAATTTTCCATTGATGATAGAGCCTCTAACCACCCGAAACAGTTTAGTAACTATCTTTTATAATTAGGTATGTGACGCCAATTCACTATAAATAGGGAATGCAATTTAGGAGAAAATGCACAACATAGAGAGAAGTACTGAGTTATCTGTTGCATGGTGGAGAGAAAGGAGAGAGGTTATTGTGATTTTCTTACTACATTAAAATCCTTATCCTTCTATACTTGCCCTGTTGCCCATGGCTTTTACCCCGCATCAGGGGTTTCCATGAAAAATCTTTGTGTTCATTTTATTTCCATTTTTTTTTTCCTCAAATTCACTTTAGATATGTTATGGCTCTGTCACTCTCAATTTACTAACATTTCATTTTTAAGAAAATTAGAGGCCTTCTATGAAACCTTGTGTTCTTCAAATATCAACTTGATTATGCTACGATGGGAGCCATAGGATTCAAGAGCACTAAAAAATTTTTCTTTTAAGTAAACATAGTTATAAGTAAAATGAGTAAATTTTATATTAGCAAAAGTAAGCAATAAGTAAATCATCATTTGGTTGCAAGGTACATATTTTCAATTTTCTTTGACTTGAAAGTAAGTTAATTAAAACAATAAGTTATTCGAAAATTAATTTCACTTCTTTTTTAGGCTTAACCAAACATGTCCCAAACAAGAAGACCTGAATTATTGCTCCAACGCTCCATGCTCGTTTGAACCAAAAATTAAAGAAATAAAAAAAATCATAAATGCATTGCAACTCATTGATTGCACGCAGATACCCATCTCGAGTGTGAAATTTTGCAGTGTAAATCAACAAAGTATATCAGATGACAGTATTCAATCGAAGCAACGTTAATAGTATAAATAACAGGAAAATAGAGAAATTATGACCTTGTCTTCGTAATCGGATTCTTCCATAGCAAGAAGGAGCTCGTCGTTTTGGGGTTGGGGCCACTGCGGTGGAAGCAAATGCGCCGTCGGAATGATCCGGGTCGACAATGGGTACTGGGTCATGAAAGCCGGGTACTGCAGCATTTTTCCTTTAGGTTTTAATATTGGAGCTGCTCTCTCCTCTTATATTTTGAATGTGTTAATTTCATAAACGATCACTGAAGTTATCTGAAAATCACAAAACAGTCACTAAAATTTAAAATTTGTAGAAACAATGACTGAAGTTTAAATTTCTTTCACAAACGGTCACTGAATTTTCAGATTTTTTGGGCAAGTTTTGCGGCGATTTTTCGGCAACTTCCGACCACCAAGACCGCCGGATTTGGATACCGTTGGAAAGCCCACAATGTCTTCTTCAATTACCACCAAAAATCTCCCCATCACTCCAAGGGATTCGATCGAAATATACCCACGAAGTCGGCTACCAAAAAATCTAAAAATCTGCCCAGGTTTTCAGATTTTTTTGGCGAGTTTGAGGCAATTTTCTAGAAACTTCCGACCACNAAAATTTTGGCAGATTTTCAGATTTTTCGATAGCCGATTTCGTGGGTATATTTCGGCCGAATCCCTTGGAGTTATGGGGAGATTTTTTGTGGTAATTGAATAGGACATTGTAGGCTTTCCAACTGTATCCAAATCCGACGGTCTGGTGGTCGGAAGTTGCCGAAAAATCGCCGCAAAACTTGCCTAAAAAATCTAAAAATTCAGTAACCGTTTGTGAAAGAAATTTAAACTTCAGTCATCGTTTCTGCAAGTTTTAAACTTCAGTGACCATTTCATGATTTTCAGGTAACTTCAGTGACCGTTTGTGAAATTAACCCTATTTTGAATGGGAGATTTTTCACTAGAAGTCACCTTACTTATATGTTTGTTTTGGGTTGGTTGCTCAATTTTAATTTATTCCAATATGATCCTCCAACTTCCACATGTTTCAATTTGGTCAAATATCACCTTTTTCTTGTTTTGAGAAAGTGAAACTTTTATAGTGGCAAATAACATAGACTTGACCATCCTACCAATTAGTTCTTGGAATTACTGGCCAGGCCATGATGAAGGATTCCTCCAAAATTAAGGATTATGAGTCGAGCATCTTTTTTTAGCTGATGTGATGAACTCGAATTATTTTTTAGCCATTACGTTTTGAGCACAGCAATTATGAATCATATATGTATGTGACACTACAGTAAGTAGATGAACCAATAAGAATCAACGTGCATTGCAAGTTGTTGGCGTTTCGGCAAAATCAGTAGCACGTCAAAAAGTGCACATAAAAAATATAGTAAAAGAGGACATGTATATTGTACAATATATTGCGTACAAAAGATGGTAAAAAAGAATATGTATGCAGGATTAATGTAAATTAACGTGTAATATTTTAATACAATCTCGTAAACACAAACATACACATGCGCACATGCACAACTATGGTAAATCTCGATGTCCTGCTAAGATCGACCTTTCCGCCAAAAGACCTTGTGCATGCATATTGCAATCACAAAGATGTAGTGAACATTGAAACCTTTTTAACAATCATCTCGTATCTAATTTTTTCCCTAAAATTTAGTGGGAGCAATTGTCCTTAAATCAATCCAAGTAGTCATGTACTCATGTTGTCGATATGCATACTATTCATTTCATGTTCCTTAAGCCTGACACTAAGATGTGTCAATCATTAAAATGGTGATATTATTATATAGATTGTATTATCGTAGTGCAAGCAACAAAAACTTATGGTAGAGCTTCTTCTATTTTTTTTTTTACCGTTCTTCATGGGTAAAATGGTGTAAGTGATGGAAAAAGTGAAACCCTATCTATGGTTTGCTTTTCACTCTTTACTTTAATCACTTTGATTTTAGGTTGTTTATTGTCTTGTTAGATTGGTGATTGGTTAATGAAGTAAATGAGACATTTGGGATTGGGGTGGTAAAATAGGTAGTTTAATTTTAATTAATTAATTTAAATTTTTTTGAAAGTAAGATAGTTTAAAATTTGAAAATAAATTTTTATTTCAATAATATGCTAAACTAAAAAAATATTAATGTAATATAATTTTTTTTCATAAATACTGTGTCATTTAACTTAATATAATAACAAAAATTTAAAATTAGTAAAATATTTTAAATATTTAACCATACATACATATATATATACCTATAATAATAAAAATTTTGGCGCCCTTACAATACCCAGGTCTTGTGTGGTTGCTCAACAAGCGTACGCTCAGAACCGTCCCTAAAAAGAGTAATACTATTTAACATTATCGTTGTTTAATATCAATCTAGGTGCATGCACTAATAATATTAAGTTACACATTTAATTAAATATAAAGAATTACAATCTATGATATACTGACATCTAAATTGATGTTCAGATTTGGGGCGTATTCGGTAGAGATTAAAATCGAATCAAAATTGAAAAACTAGCTGTTATTGTTGACTTTTATTAGATGAGTGAGACTCAATAACGACTATATTTTCAATTTTAATTGGATTTTAATTTTTACCAAACGAGCACTTATTGATGCTATTTCTTTTATAAAATAGCAAATAGCCCGTAAACATATTCACCCGTCTCATATTTACATCAATCGAATCCGACCTTCCCTTACCCGGACAATGTGATTTCCCCACTGTAGTTTATAAACACGTAAAACTTTTCAGTTTTCACATGCTTCCCAAGTTTTCTTTGGAAAGAAGAAAGAAAATTAAAATATAAAATGGATATGAATTCCGATCCCATATCTGTTAGAGAAAGAGTGTAACGCGGCTTCCGTTGAAGCGTGGATTGCATGTATGCAGATTTAATCTTATCACAATCGCTGTTTTCTGTTTTTAATCACCGCAACTTCGCTCTAACGCTTTCATATTTTGATATTTTCTGTTTATTACAAGTTAGGGGTTTTCTATAATTTTACGTAGAAGAATTTCTGCGGCTTACCTGGAACGCTATTTGGAGATAATACGTATAAACTATGGAGACTGAAACAGTTGTAATCAAGGTTCGTTTTATTTTGTTTTGTATGCTATATGTAATGGTTTAGCGGCTTTTCGTGGTGTGTTTATGATGTGAGTTGTTGATTTTTTCATGATTTAATAGCTCGTGTTGATTGTGCTCTGTTTTGTCGAGTATATTATTTTTCTTTCGTATGTGTAGTAGTGAAATTCTAAGAAATGGTTTTACCAAATTGCATATCATGCCCATTTTGCAGGGTCTGGTATTTTTAAACCCTATCTTGCTTTGTTTTTCATGCTTCTATAGTAGGCAGGCGTGAGGTAAATTGGGCGACCTTTTAGGATTTGACCTTCTCTAATTCCCAATTTCCAAATTTGATTAGATTTTTTTATATAATTGATGTTGCGGACGCTATTCGTATTGCCATATTTTTTGTTTTCATGTATGGTTCTTATGTTTAAATTTTGAGATTTGATTATAACCATGCTCGTTCTCTAATTACTGACTAAACTATGCCTTAGAAGTTTTTTTAATCCATCAGCTTCAAATACTGTTCTATTTTTCTATTTTCGGATTATAATTTCCGGGCTTCGAGCCTAACCACAGAGAACACCGTCAAGCTCAAATTTGTGTAGACATAATATTTAGCATAAACGTGCTACGTTGTGATGTCTAAACTAATAAATAAAAAAGAATTGCTAGAATTGGGGTATAAGATAAGTTGATGGATGTTTCTGGTGTCTGAATACTCAGGGTAAAGCTTTATGAATGTAAGGCAACGTGTGCCCAATGGGCCAGTGATATAAATTTTGAATCATAAGAAAGAAACTTATACTTGACATTTGTGGTTAATGATCTGCAGTGTCTTGTTGCTCACTAATTTTTGCTTGTCTACCTTCTTTTACAGGTCAAGTACGGGCTTACATTAAGGCGCTTCAATGCTACTGTTGTAGATCAGGGACTTGATCTTAACATGAATGGACTGAGAGAGAAGATTTTTTTGCTCTTTAACTTTGCTCTTGATACTGAGCTCACTCTAACTTATATTGACGAAGATGGTGAAGTGGTGACACTTGTGGATGATGAAGATCTCTGTGATGTGGTGAGGCAGGCCCTAAACCCTTTGAGGATTACTGTGAAACTGAATGCTGAAAAGAGCAGCAGACCATATGCTCAGTCAAGTGGAAGTTCTACTCCACAGAGATCTTCTGGTGTCCAGCCACCATTCCAAAATTTGAAGTCTAATATCTCTGAAATTTTGAAATCAATGCCAGAGAATCTCTGTGAAACACTCACCAAGCTGTCCACTGAGTTTGAATCTAGAGAACCAGGGATAGCTGAGCTGGTTGATGGCTTTTCAAAGATGGGATTGTCCTTCATTAGTCAACTCTCAGACTCCCAAATATCTGGAAGCACCACAGATGCTACAAAGACTAAAGATGCAGATTGTTCAAATGTTGCTCCTGTCACATCTAAGGACTTTACAACCATATCTGAAGAGCCATCCTTGAGAAGCCACAAGGATTTACCAAAACATAAATCAGAGCTGGTCCAAGAACGTGCTGAAGCAATAAAGCGTGGTAAGGCAATACTGGGAAGAGATTCTCCAAAGGAGGAGAATAAGACCAGTGCTATTCGCCTCGGACTAAAGCCCAACAATGTGGGTGGTTCCAATAAATATCCTGATTCTGTGGAATGGTGCAGTCCCAATGGCATAAAAAATGCTTTTCACAGTGTTATTGGGAAGTCACGTGACTCACATCTTGATCCTAGCTTCATTTTTGAATGTCCATTTGCTGGGATGCCTTTGAGATATTACTTTGATATGCCACCTCAATCTGGTTCTCATGGATTCCGGTTCAAAAGGAGCAATAGTCCGAGTGACTGCAATTCTGTTATCTTCCATAGAGGTGTCCACTGTGATGGTTGTGGGGTTCATCCAATAACCGGCATTAGGTTCAAGTCTAAAGTGTAAGAGATTGTATATTTTCTGATGAATTCATCGATAATAGGCGACTTTGGGTACTCACCCTTTCTGGTTGTTTCTACAGGAAAGAGAACTACGACCTGTGCAGCATTTGCTTTGCAAAACTGGGAAATGAAACTGACTACATCAGTATTGACCGTCCAGTGGTTTATCGGCACTCTTCTTTCAGCAGGCCTCGTCACTCTGTACATACATTATAATCTGTGTCTCCTTATTTTTATAGTTTTCCTTATAGCACACATGGCTTATGTTATATTGTCAATTGCAGCATGAGCATCCGCCAAAAATACGTCAAGTCTTCAGGGGCTGCAAAGTTGGTGCACCTTTGAAGCTAGACAGTCGCTTCATTCAGGATGTGAATATCATGGATGGTACTATTATGGCGCCCTTGACTCAATTTAGCAAGATTTGGCGGATGAGGAACAGTGGCACTCTTGTGTGGCCACAGAACACAAAACTTGTATGGATTGGAGGGGACAGATTAACTGATGCGTGTTCTGTTGAGATCGAGGTGGATGGTCTTTCAATTTATGTTTATATCTGCATATTCTTACCTTCTGTTCATATATGTGTTCCTTTATCTGCATTTTCTTTTTGTCCACTTCTTGGTTCTTCTTCAAAGCGGAAAGAGCAAGTTGTTGGGATAACTTAGGTTATGTACATTGTGTTAAATGGTGGCCAATTGTAATACTATAATTCTTTTACTGTTTGTATAATCTTGTTTCTTCGGGTCGGCGCTTGCAAGGAGCACTTTTTTTCCTGCATTTATCTACTACGTGTATGTTTAAATATTGTTCGCATTAAAAGAAAAGCAGATATAATATGAGATTTCTACCATGGCAGATTCCGGCAGCTGGTTTGGCTGTAGACCAGGAGCTTGATGTTGCAGTGGACTTTGTTGCCCCTGAACTTCCTGGCCGCTATATCTCATATTGGAGGATGGCCTCACATTCTGGCCAAAAGTTTGGGCAACGTGTTTGGGCTGTTATTCAGGTTTGTTGCCAGTATTGTCGGCATCATGTATCACAGCTCAATCATGATTTGCTGTATGATCTATATATATATATATATATTGATTTTCTCTGTGTTTATGAAGGTGGATACTCCTCTGACGGAGCCATTACATGAAATTGTTCCTGGCTTGAACCTAAACTTGCCTCCCGTCAGCAATGGCCCAACAGGTCCTGAAATTATAAATGAGGATGCTGAACCTGTAATGGACAAGCGCCATGAGCCTGACAACTCCAAAAAGACTGCTGAAAGGGCACAACCGGTAGTCGAGGTGCAGCTGAACATTGAAAAGGATGTGAAATTCCCTATTAATAATAGCTTGTTGGTTGGCAGTGTTGAGTCGAGCTCTGTTCCATTAGCACCACCTTCTTCTGATTTACATCCTATTATCCATCTAAAACCTACATTGGCTCGTCCAGCTCCCTTTGTGCCTTCTGCTGCATCGACTGTTGTTGTAAATGCTCATGCATCTGCTCAAGAAGTTACGGAAAAGAATGAAGTCGAGGAAAAACTCCTCAGGGAACTTGAGGATATGGGTTTCAAACAGGTTGATTTGAACAAGGAGGTCTTGAGGACTAACGAGTATGACTTGGAGCGATCCTTGGATGATCTTTGTGGAGTTTCTGAATGGGATCCTATACTGGAGGAGCTGCAGGAGATGGTTTGTTTCTTGTTTCTCTTTTAAAAATATGGCATCTTCGTTATGGTGAATTGGATAGGACTGAATTAAATAATAAATACAAGTTCAAATCTTCTGTTATTTTGTCCAACACTGTCCAATATAGTATAAAACATTCCCACAATGTACTATAACTGTCCTCTGTTTCTTTCTACCATTCCATTTTTGCTTATGGCCGTGAATTCTTACAATTATTTACTAATTGGGCCGATGATGCAGGGTTTCCAGGATACAGAAATGAACAAGAAACTGCTGAAGAAGAATAATGGAAGTATCAAGCGTGTAGTCATGGATCTTATTACTGGAGAGAGATAGTTGAGTAAAGATCAAGAACCTAATAAACATACAAGTACTTGCTGCTGTCAATAACTTAAAGAGGGTCGGAACTTTATTTTGGTATGTTGAGTTTTGAATCCTAGTTTCTTGGCGTAGTTCCTTTTCTGAATCTTGGCGAACTTAGTATTGTGTATAACTTATCAAGTGGTGTTTATATATGTCCTGTTTTATCTATTTCTCCACCATTTTGTTGGTTACTCTTTGTTCAACCTTCCTTCACCGCTCCTCTTCTTATTGCAAGATTCAGAAAACACGTTAATGGGTGAGGTTCATGTTGAGACTGGGCCAAGTGCTCTTGGCTGCCTAGTTGTAGCCATACTTTTTGCTCCTCTACCAGCAATGAGAATGAAACACGAAAGAGTTCAAATTCTATGTATGGCATTGTTCAGTTCTGTACATTATGGCATTGATATGAAGGAATACACCCACTACTTTCCTGAACAGTTTTATTGCATCTTCAAATTGACGAAATAAATTGGAACTCGTAGCAAATTTCCCTTGGACACAAATAACAAATAATTGTCAAAGCTCCTTGATAAATTAATTCTTAGAATGTTTGAGACTGCAGCAACCAAATGCATTTTGTGAAAATGGCAGTCTCATGGGTCAAACGCCAGTACTTCAAGAACCATTAAAAAGTAGTTCAAGAATAATATACAAAACTACAAAGCAGTTAAGGTTGCAATTATGGTTGAATAACAGCATTCTTCGCGTCTTTCTCCCATTGGAATGGCACGATGGCTCCCAAGTGTAAAGCTCGAATCCAACGAGCTGTTTTGTGTGATTCGTGTTTTGAAAGCAGAAAATCTTTGCTCCTCTTCTTCGAACCCTTCTCCACGTGTAATATGTAAGTTGATCTGAGAACAGCATAAAGAATTTCACAAAAGCATTTCAATGGAGATTGACCATCAGGCATCAGCACGGAGAATTTAAAAGTGATTTTGAGGACAACTCTGATGAAACCTAATATAAAATATATCACAGGAAACTAGAAAAGCAAGTTTGATAATGAGGATTGGATGATATTATTAACGAAGAAAAAGAAGTTATAATCTTGATCATTATACGGTCCAGTCGTGTCTAGTATTGCACGCCAAACATGGACGAACTGAAGAGGATGGTTTCGGTTCATCCACCAAACATGCAGCTAACTGAACTGCTGCTTCCTTTGCATACCAGCGTGTCTCGGCTACTATGTTGCAGAGCCGAAAAGGCTGCAAACTGCTGGATGTTTACGAACATGATGTGGGCACTTATAGAGCAAATCCTTAGCCTCAGAATGTCTGCCTTCATCAAAGAATGATTCAAAAACATGCTTATAAGCTGAAACAGAAGGATACTCTTTCACACTCAAGGCCATCAAGAACTCCCAAGCATTCTCCACTGTCCCAAATTTCGAAACATAATGAACAAAAGGTTCGGCAAAAGGTGGATAATTATGTTTCTTCATCAGACGAAGAAGGTCTAAAGCCTCTTCAAGTTTTCTCTCTCCTAGTAGCTTCTGAATTAGATTCTTATAAGTCGCTTGCCAAGGTCTCAATCGAGCCTTATTCACCAATTCAACGAGTAATTTATGCGCACCTGCTGTTCTCTGCTGACTAAGGAAACCCTTTATTAACACATCCAAGAGATCAGCGTCAGCGTCAAAGTTCTTCTCCATCATCTTTGCAAAACAGAGCAATGCCTTATCAACCTCATTGCCCACACAATGCCCTTGTATTAGAATTGTCCAAGTCTTGATATCTGGTTTACATCCATGTTCTTCCATCACATCGAGCACCTCACATGCTTCTTCAAACCTCCTTGCTTTGCACAATCCGAATGCCAATTGACTATAGGTAATATTATCGGGTTCATATCCTGCATTCTTCATGGCTTCCACAATCTTCTCCGCTTCATCAAACCTTCCAAGGCTAGTCAACGACCTATGAATCCCATCATATAGAGTCTTTGAGAGGGAATGCCCTGCTGCCTCATATTTGTTTACAACCCTAAACACCAAATCAAGATCTGGAGGATGACATGTTGAAATACTACGCAGAAGCATACTACACTCTTTTACTGAGGGCTTAAATGGGCTATCCATCATATGCTCGTATAGTTCCACAGCCTCCCTCAACATCTTATTCTTCTGAAATTGCCTCAAAACTTTTATATATGTATCGAGATCAATCTCAAAACCAGCACTTTTCATCTCTGTAACTATACTCCAGAACTCCCGGATCGATTCATCCCAACAAAGAACCCTCAAAATCCCATTATACGTAACAGCATTGTGTTCGAAACCCAAACTTTCACCAATCCACTTAAAAAAGCGAAAAGCGTGCAAGTGGAATCCTATTCCTCGAAACTCTTTCAAAACCCTCAAAACAAAATTATCCGAAACAGCAATTTTCATATCCTCTAATTTCCTCTCCACTTCTTCTCCCCATTCTGCACTTTTAACTACTTCAACAACCTCTTTTGCCAAATCATCCATAGCATTCTCTTTGATCATTCTTTCATAAAAATGTTTCAAAGCAGTGACCTCATTCTCCATCTTTAAATTCCGAAAAATCCCAGAAATAGTCTTATATGTTTCCTCATCAATAAAATACCCTTTTTCTTTCATTTCTTTAATTGTGACCCAAAATTCCCTCAAAAAATCCTTATTAGCAAAAATTCTTAGCATCAAGCTATACATAGAAGAACTGGGTTCAAACCCATTTTTCTCAATAACCCATTTGAAAAATCTTGAAGCTTTTTCTGGGTCTTTATCCAATTTCTTCAAAACGTACATAACAGTTTCATGGGTCAGTGTAAAATTTGATTTTGTCAACTCTTTTTCAAGTTCTTTCGACCAGTCAGTGGACAGCAAAAGCTCTAAACTCGAATCAGGTTTTGATGAATAGAAGAGCTTTATATTGTGCGCATTGAGATTAATACTCGTAGTAATGGAAGTGTGGCTTTGTGTGAAAAGAGAGGGAGAGAAATGGGGGAAGCAGCGAATCACCTTAGTGTGGAATGAATGATTTCTGGAGAATTGAGTTGGGTACAGCGAGTTGCCGAGCCGAAGATGACTCAGTATTCTCTTTGCTTGATTCATGTCAGCTGTATGTTGGCTACAGCATATGCGCGAGTGAACAAGAAAAGGGTTCTCTCGAGGGTTTAGACGATTTTCAAAAACGGGTTGAATAGACCCGAACCCGATTCAAAACCAATTTTTCTTGTTTTTGACGCAAGTTGAATTGCTCCGTTAGAAGAGAAATTTCAAAAATCGAAAAAAGACTGTTGTCTTCGTATTTCAGTTTTAGTTTTAATTTTTGAATTCATTTTAAATTTTATGTTTTGAGTGTCCATTTTGAAAATGTTAAAAACGCGTTCTTTTTCTCATTTTTAAAAATTGTTTTAAAAAAAAAAATGAAGTTTTAATTTGATTTTAACTGAAAGCGGCATTTTTCTTTCTCCTTGTAAATTTTAAGCTTGTTTTTAGAAATTCGTTTATGAAAATATGTAAATAAACATGTTTTCAATATTTTCAAAAAATGAAAACTGAAAATAGTCCACAAACAGTAGAGAGAACAGGCGAGGGAGACTTTGCCCCAATTTGGTGCACCTAAAAATTTGAATTAAATTTAAATCAAAATAAATAAATAATTTTAATCACATTCATATGGGACACAACTTTTCAATCCACATTCCACCATCTTTTATCAAGATTTAGTAGTTGCTTGTTTGAGCCCCATTTTCCCAAAAATTCATTTTTTTCAAAACTCAATTTCAATCACATATTCATCAATAAAATAATTTTGCACATAAATTGAAAACTTTTTTCTTACTTTTTAACCATACATTGTTTAAAAAATCACTATTTAAAAATATTTTTTTTCCCAAAATGGGGCTCAAACAAGAGCTTAAAATGTGATTTTTATCTAAACCAAACACAAGCTTTATTTTGTTAAAAATTGAAAAAATTCTGATGGTAAATGTTTTTCTTTTATTTTTTTAAAAATAATACACCTAAGAAAAGTAGCAAGTTTTTCAATTTGCATGCCAATTTATAAATAACAATTAATACAATTTATTGGAGATGCTCTAAAATCGACACCAAACTAGTTGAATAGACATTAACGTACTCAACTTTTATCACAATCCCATCATCAATCTTAACTCAACTAAAATTTACTCTCTAAAAAAATGAAACTCGATCAAAGACACACTCGATAAAGTTCAATTAACTTCTCAATTTTCTCAATCTTCGTTGAGTCTAGAGAATTGACTATATCCATCCATTTTTTCACACAGCGAAATTGTAGCCAAAATTTGTATGTTGGTTTATTTATTTATTGCCATAGGCCAATTAGTAGGCATTAAACATTCTTGGAAGAGAGATTATCTGAAAATGCAAATCATTCAAAGCATATACAACCATGTCCACCCGCTCGGATAATTGAGCTTCCCGAAAATATGCAAAATACATCAAGTTATTAGGGGGATAAAGTTGGTCGGGCAGCTGCCACGAACCTGAACACTCAGGCTGACACAGTCTACCTTAACCAAATGTCAGCACACAACACAACCCATTTTTCCAACTGTTGTATTACATGTACAAAATAATTTACATACACATGATATGATGATATATGATTGCGTCAGAAAAAAAAACTTTTAATCATTCTCTTTTTGACACCTCATCTGTATGTGTGTACACGTCAGAACTGTCATTACACTCAATAACTTGACTTGAAACGAAAACAAGCAAAAATGCATTTGAAACATATGAACCAATCGGTGAAACACAAAGTGCAGTAATTTTAAAGTTAGCTAGCTAATATATGCTTCTTAGCAATTAGTTAGTTGCTTATGAAAAATGAATCGATCCTACACATTTCATAGACAATAATTGGAAACAGTAATTTTCTATGATACAATGAGTTCAAATGCAGAGTTAAATTACCATGCCTTCAAGATAAATTCAACTTCTAGCATGATGAACAACATAGAGTTCTTCCAGCTATGTACAAAGAAATAATTGGATGTCTTCTCCAATCATTATGGGATTCACCACAGGCAAACATTTTATTAAGCAGTCAGCATCACTGTAGTAATGACCAACTGATATCTAGCAACAAATTGACAAATTCTAAAGCAATATTAGTACAAGCAACAAAATATACATTTCCAGGGAAGTAAAGTGCTGATGAATTTCAAGAACTGCAGGTAGTTCTCATTTAAAGGGCCACTAGCTGCAACATCATTAAAAGAAACAAATAAGTTATTCATCTAATTCAGCGGGAGAAAATCAGCAAAAATAAAACAATGTCCAGACAGCTACATAGGCTCCATGAAAGTATAGCAAAAATGTGTTTAAGATAACAGCTTTTTTCTGAAGGCACCGTATCATTAAACCTGCAGTAGAAAATTCTCAATTATTTCAAGAAAGCCGAAAAATATATAACAATTCAGCTGTTATATATAAGTTACTCAAAAATCAATCAACAAAATGAAAGATACTTTCATTGAATTATGACAACAATTAACTCGAACTGATACACTAGTTCATAACAAAAGTTACCAAAGCAGTCCATATATGAAATTAAATTCAAGACTTTGCAGCCAAAGGAGAACTAATTTCACAAAATCATGGAAATATCACCAAGTGAAGCATGGTGATTCCTTTTTTTCACAGTTCACTCGACAATTTCCTGAATGACACCAGCACCGACTGTCTTTCCTCCCTCTCGGATAGCGAACCTCATCCCTTGCTCACAAGCAATCGGCATAATAAGCTCAACCACCATCTTCACTCTGTCACCTGGCATCACCATCTTCGATTCTTCATCCTTGTCATTCATGATCGTAGACACCCTCCCTGTAACATCAGTTGTCCTCATGTAAAACTGTGGCCTGTACCCTGCAAAAAATGGGGAATGCCTTCCACCCTCCTCCTTCTTCAACACGTACACAATGGCTGTAAACTTTGTGTGCGGAGTCATAGTCCCGGGCTTAGACAAAACCATCCCCCTCTGGATATCTACCTTTTGAATACCTCTCAACAACAACCCCACATTGTCCCCAGCCATCGCCTCGTCCAAAGTCTTTTGAAACATCTCAACACCAGTCACAGTAGTATTCCTAGTCTCTCTTAATCCGACAATATCCACCGTCTCCCCAATCCTAATCTTCCCTCTCTCTACCCTGCCGGTAGCCACGGTACCTCTACCTGTGATTGTAAAAACATCCTCAATAGCCATCAAGAATGGTAAATCAGTCTGCCTCTGAGGAATAGGAATATATTCATCAACAGAATCCATCAATGCATAAATTTTATCGACCCATTCGTTTTCACCCCTTTTGATCCCCGGATTCGCCATTAATGCCTCTAAAGCTAGTAAAGCTGAGCCCGAAACAATTGGAATGTCATCACCGGGAAATTCATATGAAGACAACAATTCCCTTACCTCAAGTTCAACCAATTGAAGCAGCTCCTCATCATCAACCTGGTCTTGTTTGTTCAAGAAAACCACCATATTCGGCACCCCAACTTGTTTAGCAAGCAGAATGTGTTCTTTGGTCTGGGGCATAGGCCCATCTGCCCCTGAAACCACCAAAATTGCACCATCCATTTGTGCAGCACCAGTAATCATGTTCTTAACATAATCAGCATGTCCAGGACAATCCACGTGAGCGTAGTGGCGGTTCTCAGTCTCGTATTCCACAGTGGCAGTATTAATGGTGATACCACGGGCGCGTTCTTCGGGGGCGGCATCAATTTCGTCGTACTTTTTAGGGGCGGAGCCTCCAAGGGAGGCCAAGGCCATAGTCAGAGCAGCAGTAAGAGTGGTCTTTCCATGGTCGACATGGCCAATGGTTCCGATATTGACATGCGGTTTCTTCCGCTCGAATTTTCCCCTAGCGGCCCTGACAGTAAATCGTCGGTGGACCGGATGGGCGGTAGCGGCGGGATTGACAAAAAGGGTAGATAGAGAAGGAGTAAATGAAGAGGAAAATACAATTTTTGTGGGTTTTGAAGAACTGGGTGTAAGGGAGGGACTAGAGGAAGAAGCCGGGGCGTAAGCGTATGCAAGTCTTGTAGATGCAGTTGCTGCGGCTGCTGTGGCTGAAATTGTAGCCATAGGTGATTGGTTATTTTGAGAAATCGAAGAGCAAAAACGGAGTTTCTAGATAAAGTGTAAGAGAAGGAGAGGGTGAGGAAGTGTGTGTGTGGTGAGTGGGAAGGATAACTCTATGAGAAGAGAAAAGAGGGCCTCAAACTCAAACGGGTTCTATCCATTTCTACCAGAGGTATATTGCGGCCCACGGGAGCATGGGGTTTCTGTGCTATTGAAGTTATGTGATGCCACGTGTATTATTAGGGCAACAGGATTTGGACTGTAGTCAAGACTCAAGCTTAAATGGGTTGGCTAAGCTTTCGAAAGTTTTACCGATAAGTAATTGGAAATATATTAGAGCAACATTACGATTAACAAAAATGTTTAAAAAGAATTAAAATACAACAGGGTGCATTATTTTTTGTAGGAAATTTTATTTGTTTTAAATTAATTATTGAATTTTTATTTTATTTTTAATTCATCACTTCGTGGCTTTGTTCCTATTTGTCTTCCATTCTTTCAAAATTATGTTTTTTACATATCCATTATTAACTACATTTTTACACAATAAAATATTCTACAAGTAAATTCAAAACGTGTATCTACATTTTAATCACATTCTCTAAAAATTTATCATTCAAAACAATGTTTTTCCAAAAAAAAATGACCACCAAACATTGCTCTATATTGGTTAATTTGACTGATATAAAAGTATTAATTTTAGTGGCTAACAGGAAAGAAATTGATTGCAAAATATTTGTAGTACATACCCAAACAATACAATCATGCTATGCTGCCAGGAAAGTTTTCGAGTTTGGATGGTCTTTTTTTATTCACATGGGTTTCACTCACGTAAGTGTCTGCCAACAAGAGTAGAAGTTTAATTGTAAAAAATAAGTCTCTCACGTGAGTATCTGTCAACAAGAGTGACATTTTCTTTCTGACAGAAGTTTAATTGCAAAAAATAAGTCTCCGTTTTGGCCACGTTTGGATCAATAGTATTAACGTTAATATGGATTGTAATATTAGCCAATAATGTTGTTTTCTTCTTCTAGCCAGTATCAACAAGTTGCGTCTTGATTTAGTCTCGACCTTCTCTCGGTACATGCTCAAGTTGTCGAGCTTTAGCATTTGTTGATTAGGACTATACTTTTCTCTTAGTATATATACTTGACCTTTCCTTTCTCGTCTTTGCCTGTGATTTTTTCAAGTCTTACCGTCATGTCATTAACTATTAGGTAATGCAAAGAATACAATCGGGCAATAGCATCCCATACGATCTTGGGAAGTAAAAAGCTTTTGCTTCTCTTGACAAACACAACCTTCTGTCACAACGTGTTCAAATTCAAGAGCTCGTACTTTTGCTCACTTATGTTTGAACTATCGTGCTCAGCTTTGATGTTATCACCCGACTTTTAACTAGAAATGCCGCGTTCCAAAAATAACTATATTACTGGGCAAAAAAATTATCCCTGTTGTTGAATAAAAGTATGCTGTATGATACAAGAAAGGGCAAGTGTCAAGCCGTCATTGGATCCAGCGTATCATTACAAACTCGTAAAATTAGTGAGAACACACCACAGCAATTCTCAGCACAGATTAACCAAGCACATTCAGAAATGGAAATAAGGCCAAAAAAAAGAAGGCATTATATACTTGTGTAAAATGGTTATACAACATAAACCATCGAGGCAACAAAGCAATTCATCTGACTTCTTCGACAAAGAAATCGGCCACTGGATTCATCTGACCTCCCGCCTGCTTGTGTTTAGCTTGGGGAAACGGACTCAAAGGCTTGACCTTAACAAGCATTGCACTAGCTTCCCTGGCGTGCTTGTGTTTTAGCGCACGGCAAAATGCACTCAAAGGCTTGACCTTAACAAGCATTGCACCATCTTCCCTGGCACGTCTAAAATCTGCTTAATTTTCAAGATCTTCTAAGATGATCCCTGGTGAAAAAAGGATGTCCAAGGGCCTCACGAGCTGACAACCGTTCCGATGGGTCGTATCTAAGAAGCCCTTGTAATAGATGAATAAAATCTCCAGCTGAATGATCTACGTGCTGCATGATTAGGTTCTGAAGGCGGGGCAACTTTAGAACAGCTTTGATACTGTCTCTCGATGTCGCTCCTCCAGGCCAGTCGAGCCTACCTCTTCTAACGTATTTCTCAGCTTGTCGGCTGTAAGATAGAATAGAGATTTAGTAAACCTCCAAATAATCCTCAATCAGGATGGGATGTAATTTGCTGATTTTGACATGATATCAAATTAAGTAACCTCTCAAAGTAAAGTGAGAAAAGGTAATGTATTCTAACATGTTTGGAAACAAAAGTTACTTAAAATCAACTTTTGACGTATCATGAGCTTATCCAATATCCAAGCCCTGCACAAGATGTAAAAAGCATGAACAAGAACTTACTCGGCCTTCTTTAACATATGGTGAGGCAGTGGTCCAAGAACTTGCTCCATCATTGCAAGGTGCTCCAAATTCTCATGAGTTTGGAACAATGCTTCTCCCTGCACCATGGCAGGCAAAAACTGTTAATAATTCTAAAGTCGGATATAATCACTACATCGGCAGCCCAGTCCCAAAATATACATCGAATAGGGGGGGTAATTAGATAGCATACCGAGCATAGCTCCACTAAAATACAACCAACACTCCATATGTCACACGGGTAACTCCAACCAAGTCCTGTGACGGTAACAATCAAATAAATTAATTTGAACCTAGATAATCTAATATTAGGAGTATGTAACGAAAACCAACACAACTTAGTTCACGAATTTTTACCTATGATGACTTCAGGTGCACGGTAATGCCTGGTGGATACGATGTAGCTCTGATCTTTTCTTTCATAAGTCGTACTGCCAAAATCAATTACTTTGATAGCGCTTGATTTGGGGATTCTTTTATAGTAAGAGGCGTCCTTTGGAGACCTTGAAGAACCCTAAAAGCAATAAAAATGTACCAAGTCAGTAGTGGGCATATAGAGCATACAAACAAATAAAGCAATACCCTGATTAAACGGTAGGGCCAGAGGAACAAAACAAGAACATCAGCAATAAGCATCGGAAGCTCAAAAATTACACAATTCTGTCTTCCAACGTAACTTGTGTATTAAAACGTGAAGTTGTTGCAGAAGGACATAATAATAATAATAATAATAATAATAATAATAATAATAATAATAATAATAAAGATTTTACCTTGTAATCAGGAACTTTTATGTATTCCGGGGAGACGAGAAGAATATTCTCAGGCTTCAAATCGGTATGGATGAGGTGCAAATCATGCATGACTGCAAAATATTTGGGGCAAAAATTAATGCTAATGGGGGTACCAAGCAATTATAAAATATAAATTACCATACTGTAGATTATGACTAAGAAGGGATACCAATTTCCATATTACTTCATAAAAGCCTCCAAAATTAATAAATACAAGAGTTTTTTTTTTTTAAGGAATTTAGATCTACATTGAAGTTCTGTAGTATTAAAGACGTTGCATCTAAAACGTGTACTATGGATGAAGAGAACTATTACACACATGCTATACATTCCAACAGTTGTCTGCCAATCTCACGGACAAGGTCAATGGGAAATGAGCGGTAATTGTTTTTCCGTAGAAAATCATATAAGCTTGGTCCAAGCTTCTCAAAGACCTGTTAAGACCATTTAAATTCATCCAGGATCTCAACCTTAAAACATTTAGTTGGGGAAATTAATCCACCGAAATTATTGATCATATACTTACAATACAGATATGGTTACGATAGTCAAACCAGTTCCGTATTTGTACACAACTGCAAAGAATAAACCAGTTCAACAACTGATGGTTTCAAAAGCCATAGAAGTGGCATAAAATACAAAGTTCAAAGGAAAATTTACACTCACCGATTGCCACCTTTATCATGTCTTCCAAGTTGTTGGAGCACTTCCACTTCAATCATAGCTGCATCACGATACTTCTTAATTCCGCGAACGATTTTGATGGCAACCATTTCTTCTTTTTCCCGATCCCAGCACTGCAAGACCTGACCAAAAGTGCCTGCATATACATTCCAGTTTAGGAAACAGAGGCCACACTCCTGATACAAGCAGGATTCTTTTCTTTCAGTTTTAGTGATTCACCTTCACCCATCTTGCTGTGTATTTTATCTGCAAATATATAACAGAATGCAACATAAGAGAAAGTGATGGACATTGCAAAAAAAACTATATATTAAACAAGGAGCCTACTACCGGTCCACTTTTTCAAAAAAAGGTCATTTCAAGTTCTCAATCAGAAGAAGGAAAAAAAAAATCTCCTTCAAAAACTTCATGATAAGCTGAAGACTTAAATCATATCAGATGAAAAAATTGTTACACCGGCAAGCTAAACTTATTTTCCATAATGTTTTAAGCTGTTCATTCCACGTGTATATTAATTAAACTAAGATAAGTTAAAAATTAATGGGTCACTGAACGGTAAATAAAAAATGAGATAGTGGTTGAAAAGGAAAATTTGCATATAAAATTGAGAAAGAAATACATCAACATAATCTATATTAATACATATTCAAACAATAGCAGTAAACTGTATTGATGATAGTAAAAGGTAGTTACAGCGAGAAGTTAAATTTTCTCCAAGCTCAAATATATAATGGCCATCTTTGTCATCTTCTCGCCTCGGTGGAGAACCATTTCGAGCCAAGCCCTTAACAAACAGAGAACTAGTGTACTCTGTGCTTGAAGGTGCATAGCTTGTCACATTTCCAATCTCTTGTCCACAAAAGAATCCTAGCTGAGCCTACACACAGGCATCCATTCATGTTTTTTAAATATCAAATATCATTAATTTAGTTTACCTCCTTGACACCACCTTCCATACCCACACACTTCGTTCATTGCATTGAGAAGAACACCAAAATGTGGTTATCATGAAATAGATCACACGTGCATAGAATTAAATATAAAAACAAAGAAAACCACACACTTGAACATAGTAAGAAAGAACTTGTCCCAAATACCAAACATAACAAAGCCCAAAGAAAAGCTCCACCATATTCATGATGCTCTAAGAAGCTATAAAACAGCCAATATCATGTAAACAAACCATTTAAATGTATAACTAATTGCATAAATTTATTTAGAAAGATCTGATCTGGGTATAAATAAAGTAATAAACAGATGTACTTGTACATGTAGAAATCAGAAATGATTAAAACCATGTAGCCATGAAAATAAGTTGCCCAAAAAACAAGTAGCTGAAACCAAAATAGAATTTTGTCCATGAATCCAACAATTGTGAACCTATATAAGTTTAGAAAAATAAATTTAGAAAAATCTATACAACTCAACAGGTCTAACAGATGATGCGAAACACGTCGTACAAATAAATTTAGAAAAATCACATATCTGACCAATTGAATTCCTCTTTACGTATCAACAATCAGAAGGGCAAAATTTCAAACTATATCGGGTAAGCATAAATCTCAATTTTTGCATCTGATATATAGCTATTTAACTAAACAAAAGGATAACTATCCAACTTTACAGATCTAATAGATTATGCAAAACACGTCGTGAAATTATACGCATAAAATGCACAGATCTAATTAATTGCTTTTTAATTTACATATCGACAAATACAACGCAAAATTTTCAAAATTCATCATACCTGACCGAATAAAATTCTATTTTTTCATCAGATCTACAAAAACAAAAGAAAACACAAAATAAATCTAAAAATTTTAAGATCAGATCTTCAATACCTTAGGGGCCTCAGGTCCAACATCCCAGCCCAACCGCGGCCTCTTCCTCGGCCGCCAGTCCATTGTCAACTCCGTCACGCGCTCCATCTCCATTAGAGAGTCCGAAAATTTTAGAGAGAGAATATTGTATGTAGTTGAATGAGATAAGGTGCGTTGCGATGTGAACAATAAAAGGATTTTGCCATGGGTGTGCAGACCCTCCACACAAGAGGGGGGCCCACGAAGCAAAGCCCATATTGTTTTGACCTAAAATTGTTATCAGTGAAGAATCGGTTGAAGGCTAAGGCAATATCTGACCGTACACGTGGATGCTTTTTAATAACCCTTGGCTTTGTTTGAGATTCTCCAAAGCGAGTAAATTGCAATGGCGTTCCTACACTTTGGACAAATTGAGCACTCGAGAATATAAATATTGGATCATGCTACAAGTACATAATCATTTACATAATACATTGCAAAATTGACATGTGGCGCGCATCCATCGGTAGTTTATAATTTTTGATTTTTCCACACTTCACATCCACGGTCGAATTTCTTCCACATGGGCTTATGTAATCCATTATGTACAATAATTATGTACATATAGATTTATCCATAAACTAGGTGCAAGCAACGTGCGATGCACGTTTGCCTAATTCATATTTAATAGTTTTGTTTAATAATTAATTTGTTATTAATAAATATGTAATTTTTTTGGTTAATTAAATAATTAATGATGTAATGTTTATGTAATTGTTAAATAATTAGATGTGTAATTTTGATGTTGTTATATAAGTTGGTAATATAGAAGAAAATAAACAAAAGTTGACAAATTTGGAGAAATGGCTAAATTGTAAGGGATCAAAAGTTCGAGACTAAAT